TTCGGTAGGAAGAAAGAGAGGGGTAATGAATATGAGGAGCACCTGGCAGCGACGAGACTTACAAGGAGGAACTATGACCATCGCTTTCTTGGATCGCATCTATATCCAGCCATGTCACGTGGTGATTTGTATTTTCAAAGCTATATATTTAGAACCCCAGCCTCAATATGGAGGACACCATATATGGAGTAGAGATATGCCTTGGACTGCTTTCAGCGCCTTTCTCCTTTTCCGTAAATGTAAATTTATTTACTTCAATGCTACGAGGATCATTCAATTCAAATTTATTCGCGGTACAGACCGTATCTTGTTCCGTCTTAGCTCTAGGCTGCGGGAACACAGATGACAAATGATCGTACCGTATTGTAAACACTGTCGGGTCCAGCCAAGAACCGGATAAACTTCAGACCAAGGCCCTCTGTATGGCCCCTGTATCGTAATTTACACGTGCCACTCCTCCACATCCCTCGATTCCTCAACTTCAACCATCACTCCAACGTATCGACCTTTAAGATTTCCTGTGAACTCTGCCTGACTGCAGCACAACCGAAAGGAGCATCTCGAACTAACCGGTCGCGAAGCCTCCAGTTACCTCTTCATCTCTTCCCGGAGCACCTCCGTCTTCTCACCAGCCCCTCAAATATTCAGCTGCTTTCCCCAGACCCGAAGCTACTTCGCCTACGCAATAGTAGCGGTTTGCATCCTCTTCCACCTGCATGTTTACCAAGCTTGGATAGCTACCCAGAGGGCGGTGTCTTCGTCCTGTGTTGCGTTTACCTTGTCCGTTAACATGCGAATGGACCATTTCCCCTCTTCCTGACGATACCGTGTCGATTATTGCTATCCTTCTCCTCCCCGCCAGCGACGACCGATAGCCGGATATCGCTATTTATCAGAATTCTCAAGCATCCAATTAATCCGTACCCCCTCCCAATTTTATTGGCTCCTCTACTGCCGCAAAGTAAAAGACTATCCCGCGGATTGGAGCCGCTAGCGATTTGTTTTCCACGGCATCGGGCGAATAATCTACTATTCAATCGAAATAAGTCGTATTAGGGAGTATATCAGCGGATAATACAAGTAGAGTTCAAGGAAAACAACCATGGGATTTTTAGGGGTCTACATTGCGGTGTATGATTATACGCCGCAGGCAGAAAATGAGCTGGAAATCAAGGAAGGGGATTTGCTATATGTGATGGACAAGAGCGTCGAGGACGATTGGTGGAAGGCGAAGAAAAAGGCCGCTGAGGATGATGAGGAAGAACCTGTTGGATTGGTGCCGAATAATTATGTTGAGGAGGTAAATATATTGAATTATTTCCTTCCCCCTTTCGTCTCTTGAGCCATGGATATTTATTGGAGGGGAAGGATGAATGGGCTTTTCACCGCCTTACCTGAAGACGGGAATCGGATGGCATTGGCTACTACACATTCTGGAAGGCCAGAGTGTTGAATCAGCTAACGACATTACAATAGGCGCAACCGATCAGCAAAGCAAAGGCACTCTATGATTATACCCGCCAAACCGATGAAGAGGTGTCTTTTGCGGAACAAGTTGAACTCGTTGTCTACGACACATCGGACCCAGATTGGACCTTAGTAGGCGTTAACAATGATTTTGGCTTTGCGCCCGCCAACTACATTGAGATAACAGAGGAATTTCTGGCCAAAGAAGCTTCCTCTGCACCCCCCCATTCATTGCCTACAAAATCAGCTGAGACAGAGTCCGAGGGAGCATTAACCCCAGCATCTCATTCCAGTGCGGATGCAAGTCCTGCGGCTGCGTTAGCTGGTATCCTCCACAAAAGCCAGCCATCGATATCGGAACAGTCTCGGCCGGTTCCCTCTCCTCAAGCTCCTCAACCAGCCCACCAACCAACATTCACACCGGAGGAATCTGACGGAGAAGATGCAACACCCCCACCGGCTCTTCCGCGACGTCCTCCATCTCAGCAGAATACTCCATCTTCTCAGTTACCTTCTCCGCGCGATCCCTCTCCACCGCGCCCAAAACATGCCCCTCTCAGGGACGAGGAACCCTACGGCGTCCAGCCATCTCCACCTTACAGATCCGGGGAGTTCAATCCTGACCAGCGGTCTGCGATTTCGCCCTCTGGATACCATCTTTATAACATTAGCGAAATGGTTTCTGTAATGGGAAAAAGGAAAAAAATGCCGACAACTCTCGGAATAAATATCAACACCGGAACGATTTTTATTTCGCCGGAGAAGTCTATTGATGGACCACACCAGGAGTGGACAGCGGATAAACTCACACACTACTCAATCGAAGGGAAGCACGTATTCATGGATCTTATTCGACCCAGCAAAAGTGTCGATTTTCATGCCGGCGCAAAAGATACCGCAAACGAAATTGTTTCTGCACTAGGCGAGATTGCTGGCGGATATAGAGCTGAAGGACTTAGAGAAGTAATTGCTGCTGGTACCGGAGGTGCTCGGAAAAAAGGCCAGGTATTATATGATTTTATGGCTCAGGGCGACGATGAAGTCACTGTTGCCGTGGGTGACGAAGTTATTATACTAGATGACAGCAAGTCAGACGAGTGGTGGATGGTGAGGCGCCTGAAGACCGGCAGGGAAGGGGTCGTTCCTAGCAGCTATGTGGAGCTTACAGGCGTAGTGAGCACAGACGAACCTAGCAGAAAGGGCACAAACGCAGGACTTTCCACTGTTGAACAGAACCGACTTGAGGAATCGCGTTTGACAAAAGAGACGGCGCGGAAATCAAAGAGCCATGATTCTAGTAACTCGCGTGGCGGAGAGGTAGGCCCAGGCATACAGCTTCCTGAGAGAGGTAGTAGTTTGTTTCCCAGAGAAAGTAGTAACCATCGTTCACAGCGTCAGAAGCGTGATAGCCGGTCGAAACCAAGTAAGTGGCGCTTTGACTTTCTTTCTTTTCCTTTTTGGTTTTCAGTTTGTACATGTGTTAGGAAGTTATTAACAAACTCATCGTAGAACCAGACCCTTTGAAAACACGAAAGTGGACCGATAGAACTGGAACCTTCACTGTTGTAGCTGAGTTTATCGGGCTTGCCGAGGGTAAAATCCATCTTCATAAGCAGAATGGTGTGAAAATCGCCGTTCCTGTATCGAAAATGTCTGTGGATGACCTTGAATATGTTGAGCAAGTCACGGGCCAATCTCTCGACGAAGACAAGCCACTTTCCGACATCCGACGTCGAAGTCGCCTTAACGACGCCGGGAAAGTTGGTGCGAGTGTGAAATCTTCCGATTATGACTGGTTTGACTTTTTCCTGAAGGCCGGCGTCGGGCCTCACCAGTGCGAACGGTACTCCCATAACTTTAACAAGGGATTCCATGGACGAGAGTGTTTTACCAGATATCACCACAGAGACACTACGCACATTAGGCTTGAAGGAGGGAGATATTCTGCGAGTAATGAAATACCTTGATAATCTGTTTAACCGTACTGCGAAGTCAAAATGGTCAGCTTCGG